CCATTCTGCTGATTTACTGAAATATTAGGGAAAAAAGAGGCAAGCAAAAATAAGATCAATACTTAAAATTGAATGATAAAAAAATATATATTAAATAAAAAAAAAGGAAGGCACAAATACCTCCTGTCCCTTCTTACACTTCTGCTTCTGCTGCAGCTTCTACTTCGGCTCCTAGATGGACCGCTTTCATATCACCTCACCTACCAATTGGAGAACAAATAATAACAAGCTTATCAAACTGATCCTTCATTACAACCTTATTGTATTGTATTGGGTAGCTGAAGATCCCAAAAGGCAGGCAAGGCATCCACCACCCAAAAATTACATGATGGATCCAATTCCACAACTTGTGGAGCTGAAGCTAACATATGAAATATTGTTGGTATCTAGACAAATCACACGAATAAATGAAAAAAAAAAAGAGAATGACCTGGTAAGAATGCACTCATGTCACTGGCTTTGCAATGTCCAGACAATCTCATTTTCTTTAACATATAAGATAGAAATATAGCTTTTCGATTCAGAAACATATAAAGAACCTTATGTCCAGGTCCCAGCCAACATTATCAATATTAAAAACCAAAAGCATAACGAGATTATTATCTGAATATAAGCTTTTGTCCAAGGATTTCTAAACTCAGTATCATCAAGTTTCCGAATCTGAATACAATATCACAAGGTCAGTTACCATAACGAATATAAGACTAAGACTATAGAAGCACAAATTCAAACAACATGAGTAAGGACAATGTTTTTACATGAACCACTTACAGCATATTTCATGTCTTCATAATTTGTATAATCAACAACACCAAAAGTCCCTGAATGTTGAGATAGAAAATAAGTTTAACAAAGATACAATTATTTACTGCATTCAGAGACAGAATTTAGAGCACATCCAGACAATACAAGAATTATGTCAATTCACACCGAAAAGAACATAATGCAATCTGAACTGGATACCATCATTCAAAGTATGTGCAACAAATAGAAAATAGAGTTAAAACAACTAATTCAAGACTAACTCCTAACAATTTGACTTTGAATTGAACGTTCAAGTCGTCAAGAACAAGTATGCCCAACTCTAAGATATTAATTTAATATTCAATCACACAAGTTTGCCCAAACATCATTACTAATGAGAACAAATTAGTAGAAGATGGAGGGCAAACTGATTCTTGGTGGCTACTCACTCTTTGCTTCATAAATTTTTATGGGGATGAATGATTATTGGTAGCTATTCACTCTTTAATAGAATAACATTTCAAACCATTAAGAGTAACTCCAATTTTCATCCAAAATAATGGCAGGTCCAAGGTCATTTAAAGAACCAAAGAGACTGCTTAGTACCATAACATAGTACCTAAAGCAGGAAAACAATTTAGACATCCATGAAAATGAAAAAACAATGTAAATCATGAAGTTAGCTGCTAACGGATGCAAATCTTAAGAGCATACCCTCGCTATCACGAGAAATCTCAGCAAAACAGACATCCCCTGCTTTCCGCATGTAATCCTGAAAAGAATTCATTAACATCTAATGAGTAAAGCATTATTGAAACAGAATAGAAGTTATTTATTAACTTTAGAAAATTACCAACCTTCAAATCCTGCCAGGATGCAGAGTGAGGGAGTCCACGAACAATAACTACATTCCCAACAAAAGTCTATATTATAACTATTTTCACATGCAACAAATAGACATGGAAAGGTAGCTTGATTTGTGCCATGGTTCAACAACTAAACACACCTTGATATTCAGAACGACATGAGATGCCAAATCAAGCTGCCCCCCCACCATAGCCACCACAACAATCACTTGAGGATTGTCCTTTACCACCATGGGCGAACTCAACCTAAAATAAATCCAGATGAAGTAACCAAATAATTGAAAAAATAAAAAAATAAAAAAATAAAAACTCAAATACACACAAGTATAGCGCAAGAGGATTATTAACCTCAATCAACAACCATCAAAGTTATGGCCATCCTGACCCCTGATTGCATCTTCAGCATCAAGAGCACTCTTGAACTATGAAAACGAACCTACCCAACTCAGTTGGCCACCATAGCTCTTTTCTAATGTATCAAATATAAAAATGAGATAACTGTTGAGAAACATACCTCAACAAAACAATAACATGGAGGACGTGGAGGAATCTTCAACTTGATGTCCAAAATGCAATCATCTCATATAAGAAGAAATAAGAATAAGTTAGACAAAATCATGGAGGAGCCAGTAAATAACAATGGACAGCTATAATCCTAGATGGCTTATACCATCTGGTTAACAAGAAATTTATCTTTTTCTGAAGCAGTATCATATAAAAGGGTGTCAGATAATATAATAGAGATAAGAGAATCATCCATATTTGAATAAAAAAGAGAACAGATAGAACACAAAGTTCTGAATCTAAAATAATTTTCCAAATCTTTACATATTTGTCTATACTCACCAGAAGGGTAGTAAAAACTGAAAAGAAGAGCAAATCAAAATGACAAATTAACTATGTGGCTCAAAACATCACATGAAATATCTATCATTTTTTTCTTATGAGTTTAAATAAAATAAAGACAAGTGACAAAATCGTACCTTATAGAACAAGTCTTCAACTTCCTACTCTCTTACACCTGAGGGAAGGTTGCCAACATAGATTGTTCGTGAATAGCGACAACTCATCTTGAGTATTACAAATATATAGCAATTTCTCACTGCAGGTGAAAATAAAAGAACCACATTAATAGAGAAACAAACTCTCTTACTTGAAAATAACTTAGCTCTATCAACTTAGATAACCAGTTATCATCCTCCACAACTCCGTTGATAAAAAAAAATACATATATATAAAACCAAAATCATGAAGCAAACCAAGTGAGCAATCCTACATGTGAGCGGTGCTCCATAAGCTCCATTGCGTATTTGCTCCACATGCTCCGAAGCTATAATAAATTTGAAATTTAATTTGCCCTGCTCATCCTCTCATAAATTTTTGCACACGCATCGAACAGGGAGCAAGAATCTTCAATTATAAAAAAAAATACCCAAAACTCCACATTGTTTCTCCCACTCCCTCTTTATATCCCTATGCATGATTGCAAAGCTCATATTTGTCCAAGCGCTTGTCATCTATCATAAAGAAAGCATGTGTCATGAAATCAGGTAATATTGACACATATTATCATATTTACTTCATCTCTCTGTGTAGCAGCATTCATATGAAAAACCCAACCTAAGTATTTGAATATTTACCTCTTCTTCTTTACTTCTTTTATTATAAAATCATCTCTTCTTTTGTTTCTCCCACTTACACATGCCTTATGCATTACATTTACAAAAATTTTTAATCATTCATTTTTTTTTTTCAATAATTGAAATTTATGACTTTTTAGATACAAAGAGATAATTATTTTTAATAAATATTATAAAAAATAAATAAATTTCAACTTATTAAAAATAAACAGATAAATAATTAAAATTTTATATAAATATAATTAATGAACCGTGTATATAAATGAATCATTACTCATGTATATATATATATATCACTTGAAAATGTGCTGAAAAATTTTATTCAGTCATTCTTACTCATAGATGAAGAGAAAGCAGAAGCAATCAAAATCCTAAATCACATACAATTAACCAGAAGAATCAAACCAATCGAGACCGACCGACATCTCAAAATATCATATAGAAATATATAGAACGAAAAGTCGATGAGACGGTACCGAAATAATGGAGCAGGAGGACTGAAACCAACTCGAGCAAACGGCCAAACAGCGGTCCGTCCCTCGCAAGAGAAAACAGTGATATACGCCGGAGGTTGGTAGATTGAGCGTGGAGCTGGTCCATTTGGAAATGAAGAAAGAGAATGGGCTGGGCTGGACCCAAGCCCATGTTTGGATTGATGGAGTATGGAGTTGAAGGGGGAGTGGGGGGGGGAGAGTGAGGGGCTGATCGTCTCCTTTATTTTATATGTTTTTCTTTATCAATGGAAAAGAAGGGAAAAAGGAGGGTGATAAAACCCATTCACTTTTTTATTTTTTATTTTTTAAAATTGAAGGAACTGGGAGATATTTGATATATATATATATATTTAATATCTTTTAATATTTTTAAAAAAATAAATATATAAAAATATTTTATTTTAATTATTATTTTAATTAATAAATTTTAAATATTTTATTTTATTTTTAATTATTTAATTAAATAAAAATATTTTTTTTCTCATTTTTTTTTATTTATCCAAATAAAGTTGATAACAACCATTCTCTTCGTTTCACTTCTCTTTCTTTTTCTTTTCTTCTCCTCTCTTCCCTTTCCTTTATTAATCTTTTTCTTTTCCTCCTTTCCTTTTTCTCTATCAATTTTTATCTAGACAAACTGTAAAGTGTGCTCTGGTGCAAGATGCAAATTTCGCAAATTACCCTGGGTCGCGCTAATCCCATTCCAGATGGCACTGCTTTGCAGTTGCAGCGCCTTGTAGAGAAACCCGGATCAGTTATTTCCAGCCCAATTTAATTTGGGCTACAGGCTCTGAAACTGCACCGTTTGACCTTTTCTAACTCTATTATTTCCCTTTTCTCATGAAAGTACAATACTAAAATGGAGAAACGATGGCGAATATATTGTCAGTGAAAAGTGTAAGGACTCTGAATTATAGTAAGACTATATAATTTTTTTTTTTTTTTGATCATTTTGACAAGGGGCGGTCTCGAACCCGTCCAGAGGAGGGGGGCAGTGCACCATCAACCTGGTTAATGTCAGTGAACTTAGAGGCCCAGGTGCAGTAAGACTATATAATTGAAATGATGGAGATAGATATTCTAATATTGATGACTCTGTAAAGAGGGTACTCTATTTTCAGAAGAGGTTGAGCTTTCACCGTTTGCCTTTGAGAAAATAAATATCAGTTTAGTATATAAAAAGATAAAAATATCATTAATAAATAAAAAACAAAAATATCATTATTAAATAAAGTTAAAATTTATTTTTATATATCACTTATATAAAATCTTGTCATTTTTTCTTTTCATTATAAATAATTAAGATTTATAAAACATTTTAAATGAAAAATAATTATTTTTAAAAAATATGACAAAAAGTGGATTAATTTCTCATTTTTTTTAGTGTATGAGAGAGTCAAACAAGTTTTCTCTTATAGGTCATATTCAAAATTTAAAATTTAAGATTAACATGTAAAAAAATTATTTTTTTAAATATATTAGATTGACATAAGTTGTGCACTTTTAAAATTATTTTAAAAGATATCAGTATATACACTAAGCGTGGTTCATAAATAACTCAACTGACCCAAAAAACAAAAATGGAGGTCAGCACGATGTCTCTAATATTGAGGCAGATCCGAATATTGATGCGAAACTCTATTTACAAAAGAAGTTAAGGTTTTATTGTCTATCTTCGAGAAAAAAAATATCAATTTAGTATAAAAAAATCATTAATAAATAAAAAACCAAAATATAATTAAAAAATAGAGTTAT